GCCCGGCGGGGTATTCCCATGGCCAGCGCTCCCGCCTCAGATCCCTGCAGACAGGCCAGCACGAGGCTTCACCGCTCGCTTCCCTCGCTAGGACTCTGGTGTTTGTAGCAATCTTGGGGGGCTGCACGTAAGCCCTGGTGCCTGGGGCTGTTGTGCCCCCCAGGGAAATAGGGGTGCTGGTTCCAGGGGCTTCAGCAGGAAAAGCCCTGAGCCTCGGCCAGACCCCTGGAAGCGTTCACATTAAAAACCAAGTGAAACATACAAATCTTGGCCCTTTGATTCATTTCAGTGTATGCTGGGGAGTGGGACATGGGGCTTTTCTCTTCTAGGGGATGCCAGCTCCGTTCCGGCCCCAGGGTGGGCTGGGGATGGGGGGTGAGTGGGGTGTCCCCTTGCTGGGACACAGAGGGTTCCCAGCTCTAAGCCAGCAGCCCCCCCCCCCCCCCCCCAGCTGTGTGCGCCGTCCCTTGTCTCTGTCGTGGAAAGAATCACCCACGCAGTGATTTTAGTTCACAGACTCAGAGCCTGAGGCCTTTATTGCAATACAAACCAGTGCGCACTGGGGTGCAGCTCGGAAGCTGGCACCCCGAACAGCAGCACGCAGGCTGCTTTTATTTACTAAAACCACAAGCATGATACAATTAATACGTCATTAGTTAAGAAATTAAGAACCAATCATAAGCTGGGCATATAGTGGACACGAGCTCGGGGACAAATCACAAGCTTGGCTTTGGGTGAACACGCGTTGGTCACGAGCTGGGGTGTTGGGTTGGGGTCACTCTTCCCTCCTCCCCTTGCCCTCTTTCTTAATGTTCCGAGAAGTGGGTGTAATTGGGCATGGGGACATTTGGTGGTTTTCCGCAAGGGTGGTGCTCAGCTCTGGCTTGGGTACATTTCTTAAGACTTGGTACATGTCATTTTCTGGGGGATTTCGGTAAGAGCTAAGGGGAGGGCTTTTCAGGAGATGCTTAAAGGGGAACTATTATTGGATAGTTGGAATTGGAGAATTTGCAGATAGCTACAACTGCAAGAGTGATTAGCTCTTTGCAAAAGCAATTTCTTAATGTATTTCATAAACTTGCAGTTAATATATTCTGTGTTTCTTTCCCTCCTCTGTGACTACTTTTGTCTGGGTTTTGGCAGAGAATTGATTTGAGCAGTATTGTTCAGGCTTTTAGGCCTTCTCTACTCTGCACAAAGGTCACCATCATGACAGCCTTTTGTTGGAGGTGTTTTGGGGCCTGTAGGCCCAGAACTTTGGCTATCGGAAAGGAGGCCCCCCTGTTCTGTTCCTCCACAAACTCCCTCCTCTGATGCCATATAGGCATCACTATCCTTATTTAGAAAAGAGGCCATAGGACAGTATTTAGATCCAGAATTAATACTAAGGTGGTTAATTTTTCGGATCTAAGGGACAATATAGTGTGGAGTGGGGAACATCTGTGAAAAATAAAAGGGCTCTCGGTGGTGGTTGGGGGTGAACCGGGAGCCGGGGCAAACGACAAAATTTACATAGACAACAAGCAACAGCCAACATTAATTCGCAACAAATTGTTAAAACAATTCAAAATAGAATGTGAAGGGCAGAAGAAGTTAGCCAACTGGGTGTAACTTGGGCAATTTTCTTAGAGGCAAAGTACGCAATGTTGTGGGAGAAGCATAAGGTATGTACTTCATAAGCAATTTGGAAAACTTTGGCCTTTTATATTATATTTCTATTATATGCATTTGGGTTTTGCAGGTGAGATAAGTTGGAGAGCAGAGGGAGTAGAGAAGTGAGGTTTAGGAAGCAGTTAGTGATAAGGGAAGTCCAATTAAATGTAAAAGGAACACTTGGATGGAGGGCTACATAAACCTGAGGATTAGCAGGCCATACAATAAAGCGGTTTCCTTGTGCAGTGATTAAGCTAAGGTGAAAGGGGATAGGGATGTGGGGGTTTGATGGCAGGGCACATCCATGGCTTTTACTAAATAGTAATTTTCCCTCGGGATCTTTACCTATAGCTTCCCCTTCCCAACATGCCAAATTAAAATGTTAACCACCTCTTTAGGATGCAATTTGCGGAGACAAAATAGCTGTGGGGGTTCCAAGGGCCATAATGACCACAAGGTTCCGATACCCACCCAGATATGTTGAGCAGTGAAATCATAGGGAGTGGTGATAAAATGGCTAGGTTTATGGGGTGGTTTGACTTCCCATACCTGCCGGTGGATAACCCAGTCCCATAGACAATTCGCCCAGGGTTCTGGCACAAGTAAGTGCACTGGAGCCCAGGTGCCATTTACCGGTTCCGAAGCTTGGAAGGTACATGCAACAGAGTCACAGCTTTATTTTAACAATGTTCACGTATTTTTCCACTTCCACAGCTTGGGTGGCACTTCCACAGTAGTGGTAAGCCTGAACAATACTGCTTTTAGGCCTTCTCTACTCTGCACAAAGGTCACCATCATGACAGCCTTTTGTTGGAGGTGTTTTGGGGCCTGTAGGCCCAGAACTTTGGCTATCGGAAAGGAGGCCCCCCTGTTCTGTTCCTCCACATCTCTGAGCCCCTCCAGAACAGCTGGCCACAACTCCTTAGGGTGGGGTCACTGCAGCATCATGGCACCACCAACTCCAACCTGCTCTGATTCTGGGACGCACACTCTGGCTTCTTTCCCCCAAGTGGCAGCACCTTTGGGACCCCCCCCCCCAACTCTCCCAACCTGCACTGTTGCCCCTTCTCCCGCCTTCCTTGCCCTCGGGAAAGACAGGGCCCCTCACAGTCCCTGGCCAGACCATACTGCTGGGAGCCGCTCATGTGGCCGACAACCTGGGGGCCTCGTGTCTGGGCTGTGCCCATTCTCAGCCAGGCCTCCCCCAGCACACCAAGAAGCGCAGCTGCCTGCACCCCTCCAGTGCTCCTCAGCAGAGCAAGGGGGACAATGAAAATGGGGGATCCCTCCCGTCCCTTCTGCATGAGCCCAGCCAGAGCTGCACCCCAACTTCACAGGCTCTGGAGAGACTACAAGGGCCTTAGGGTGAGTGGAACTGGGTCACGGGGTGGGGGAGGATCTGTCACAAACCTGGGAATCCCACCCCGATCTTGGTTCTGCCCCATGCTGGACTTTCAAACCCTCCTGCCAACTGCCCACAGGGGGTCTCTACTAGTCCCTCCCCACATTGGGGCTTTAGCCTGACACCCCATGAGTTGTGCAGAGAACTGATCTCCTGGATTCCAACACCCCACTACCCTCCCCATGGCTCAGCTCCCTTCTCTGCATGCCCAGCTGATTGGGGTCTGGGATCCAGGACTCATGGGTTCTATCCTCAGTTTTGGAAGGACTGTGGGGTCCACTGGGTTGGGGAGGGAGGTGCTGGCTGGAAGCCAGGACCCCTAGGTTCTCTTCCCAGTTGGCTGTCTGACAGTGGCAGAGTCCACTCCCCTGTTTATGCCTCAGTTTCCCTCCCTGTATTGGGAGCCACTGTGGCCTCCCTGATGTCAGGGTGAGGGGATAGGGCATCTGGGCAGGGCTCTTAGGTGGGGGCTGGGGACAGATACAAAACCCAAGATAAAGCAAGTCCCCGGGGGATGGTGCCCAGGACCCCTGGTGTCTGGGGGCGGCCAGGCAGCTGCCAGGTTTGGCTGGCGGCCCAGACATGCTCAGAGCCCAGCGCATCTGAGTCAGACGTGGGAGCGAAGGGAATAATGAATTAATAACGTCACTGCAGGCAGCGAAGGGGTAGTGGGAAGGGGGCACTGCCAGGTAAGGGCTTGTGGTGGGGGGCATTGGATGGGGCACTGGGGGAGTGGCAGGGGAGCACTGGGGACTCCCCCAGGACGAGCCGTGATGTCCGCTCCATTCACATCAAAACTTCACTCCCGGCAGGGAGGGAGCAACCCAGCAGCTATTTATAGCTCAGGACCTGGGGGGGCTGAGATGGGGGGTGGGATCTGGGAGGGAGCTGAGATCAGGGGAGGGGAGCTGGGATCTGGCTTGGTTCTGATGGATTTTCCATTTTTTGCTAATTTTCTCTCCCCCCCCCCCCCCCCTCCTCCATCTACTGCCCTGCCCCCCGCGCTCCATTTCCCTGTGATTATACACACATAAGTACACAGCTAGCCTGCAGCCCTAAGATTGACCTTTCTCTCCCATCTGGAAGAGGAGTAGTGTCTCTAGAGTTTAGGGCAGGGTGCTGGGAGCTAGGACTCCTGGGTTCTATCCCAGCCCTGGGAGAGGAGTGGTGTCTAGTGGGAGGGGGGCTAGGAGCCGGGACTCCTGGGTTCTAGCTCCAGCTCTGGGAAGACAGTGGGGTCTAGTGACAGTGGGGGCTAGGGGCTAGGACGCCTGGGTTCTATTCTTAGCTCAGGGATTAGGGTCTAGTCACACAGAGGGGCTGAGAACTACTACTCCTAGGCGCTATCCGCAGCTCGCTTGAGCACAACCCTTCTCCGTGCCTCAGTTTACCCCTGTACAAAATGGGCAAGCTGGGAGGCTGGTGTCTGTCCCCGGTCCCCCTCTGTTCCCCCTGCCCCGGGGCTGGGTTGCTGATTAGATCTGCGCCCCCGCATGGGCTGTGCCAGCCCAGAGAGCTTTGCCTTGGAAACGTGATTGCGCTGCGGGCGGGCGGGGGGAGCCCGTCTGTCCCTGGCTGGGGCTGGGGCTGGCTCTGGCTCAGCCCGGCCCAGCCCTGTGCCAGGGCTGGGTGTGACGGTGAGTCAGAGCCGACGCGCGCATTCCTGGCCCAGGCACGAACAGCTCCCCCGTCCCGCGGAGCCGGGGCACTGTGTAGCCGCTGCCGCAGCCCGCCCTGTGTAAGAATCCCCCCCTCTCCTACTGAGCTCCCGGTACAAGCAGCCCCCGCGCACCACCCCAGAGGCGGCTGCATCTCAGCGGCCCGCCAGCGCTCCATGTCCTGTGGAGAAGCATATTCCCAGCAAGGGCCACGTGGGTATGAGTCGTGCCCCTTCCTGCTCCTCCTGCAGCTTCCCGGTAGCATTTCAGGGCTGGCGTCAGGCTGGGCTGGGCTGCCCCACACTCAGCCGCCCCTGGGGGCCCCAGAGGAGTTGGTACCAGGGGAAGGGGGGGCGCTAAGGTTTAACAGCAGCTCCTGTTTCTGGCAGAGGGAGCCTGTCTCCGCAGCCTGGTCACCCAGCCGAGATGGAGCCCCCGGAGCAGCCAGACGGGTATGGCAGAGGGGCCTGGGGACGGGGAGGTGGGGGGAGCCAGGACTCCTGAGTTCTATCCCATCGAGGGGCTAGTGGGTTAAAACAGGTGGGGCTGGGATCCCGGACTCCTGGGTTCCATGCTAGGGGCTCCCCACCCTCCTCACAGCTCTGTCTGTCCCTCCTCAGTCTGAGGCGTGGCCCTGTGTATGATGTCCCAGACCCACACGTCTTCCCCCAGCCCAGACCAGCACGGGGGTCTCCGAACAACGTCAGCCTCCTGGATCGCCTGCTCCTCACCCAGTCTGTCTGGCTGCAGCTGAGCCTCAACTCTGCCACCGCCCTGCACATCCTGCAGCGTGAGCCCCCCGGGGTGAGGGCTCAGGGGTGCCTCTGCCGGGCTGGACACTGGGGGAGATGGGTCCATTGGTCTGGGGGGGGGGTGGGCCCCTACGGCTCATTTGGGGAGGGGAATGATACTGGGCTGGATGGGTCCATGGCTCTGACTGGGGATGGGGGACAAAACCCAGGCCGGAGGGGGTCCATGAGGCTGATGGGGGGGGATCCCACACTGGATGGGTTCATGGGGCTGAGCAGGGAAGGGGGTGGATATCGGGAAATGTCCCCAGCCCCTGGTAGCCCCTGCTGATGGGTGCCCCATTCTTGCCCCAGACATTCCTGGTGCGCCGATCGAACACACACCGACGCCGGGTGCTCTGCTTGCGCCTCCTAGATGACTTGGCCCCGGCCTTCGTCGCTAGCTACTGCCTGCAGGAGAGAGCAGCAGGTAGGGACGCATCTGCACTGCCCTGTGCCCCCCAGGGAGCACCACGCCTACACACAGCCCTGCATCTGGGGCCTTACTGAGCTCCCCAGCTCCCTGCAGTACGGTAGCCCCTAGTGCTGCACTTGGCCAGCAGGCAAGTACTGACTGCCAGGGGAGAGCGCCTCCTAGCGCTGCAGGGTCTGAGGGGCCTTCTCTTTGCAGGCATCTCTCTAGAGGGCTCATCCTGGAGCTTCCCAGACCTGCTGCACCTGGTGGCCTCCTACTGCCAGAGCCGGTGAGTGGGAGGATGGGGGACATCCCAAAATCTGAGCCCCCGAGCTTCAGCTCTCCCCTGCTCCCAGTAGACTGAGATCCTGTAGTGTCCGGGGCAGTGGGGGACAGCGGAGGGGTTATAGGACAGAGGGTGTTGGGGCAGCCCTGGGGGAGAGGGCAAAGGGCAGAAGAGGATTGGGGAAGTGCTCAAGGGAGAGAGGCAGAAGGGAATTGGGGGAGTGCCCGAGGAGGGGCAGAAGGGAATTGGGGGAATGTCCCTGAGGGAGGAGGGAGCCCTGGGACTGCTGTCAGAGCCTGATGCACTGTCCCCCTAGGGAGGTTCTCCCGGTCGCCCTGCGCCTGCCCCAACCCATCCAGCAGGCGGTGTCGCACAAGGAACTGGAGGCCATTTCCCACCTGGGGCTCGGTGAGTGACACCCCCCACAGCCCTTCCCCCTGGACCCCCCCCCCAGCGCCCCCCCCCCCCACATCTCAGTGGCCCCTACACTGATCTCCCTGATCCTTCCTCTCCCTTCAGTCCCCCTGGTCCCTCCCTGCCCATCCTCCCTCTGTGCCCCATTTCCACCCCATTACCCCCATCCCCACAGCCACTCCCCTTCCCCCATCACCCTGCACCTCCTCCCTGCACCCCCCAGGTAGCTGGGAAATCCCTCCCATCCCTTCCTCCTCTAGTTCCCCTCCCTCCCGGCCTGGGGCCAGATTGGAGCTGGCACTCCCTAGAGGGGAAAGGCTCATATCCCATTTCTAACCCCCTGAGCCAGCCAGGCCCCCCACCTTGGGGATGGATCAGAGCCGGCGCCCCCTAGCGGGGAAAGGCCCATGTCCTCTCCTCAGTGCTGACCCCTCGTTTCCTCCCCCCCCCCCCAGAGTTCTGGAGCTCTTCTCTCAATGCCAAGGACCCCCTGGAGTCGCCTGAGCCCCCACTCTGTGAGGATGCTGCCCCTGCAGCTGGCCAGCTGGGTGCAATCCCCACGCGGAGCCCAAGGGAGCTGGACTGCGGCCTGGGCAACGGGGCGCTGGGCTTCCTGAACCCCCTGTTCCAGGGCAGGGATGGGGGCTCACGGCGGGACGACTTCAAGCGCAGCATTAAAGTGCGGGTGTCCACCGAGACCTCCAGCCCTCTCTCACCACCCCCCAAGCCACCACCCCCCATCCCTTCCAGCCAGACTGGGATGCTCCCCACCCCGCACCGAGAGCCGGGCCAGTACACATCGCTCAGCATGTCGGGGTATCGGGTGCCCCAGCGGGCTGGGGAGCCCCTTAATCCCAAGCCAGCTGGGAGCAGCCTCCCATCCCTGCAGGAGCTGGACAGCAGGTCCCCCAGTGGCTCAGAGAGCGAGGGGGGTGGGGGTCCGCGGGCCCCCTCACCTCCTGCCCAGCGCCGCCCCCGTGCCCCCCTGCGCTCCATGAGCGATGCCGTCCTGGCAGTGCTGGCCCCTGAGAAACAGCTGGCACGGGCCGTGGAGGGGCTGGCGCGGGACCGGAGCACCAGGTTGGGAGCCAGCGTCCAGGATTTCCTGACCCTAGTGAGGGGTGGCGGGGGGGAGTGGCGGTCCAGCCACGAGCTGCTGAGTCCCGTCCGGACCTTCCTGACCCACACCAAGGCCCAGCTGCTGCCCAGCCCAGCCCTGGAGCTGCCGAGCCCCACGCTGCTGCCTGACCACAGGCTGGGTGAGTGGGGCTGGGGGGAGGGATCCAGGATGCCTGGGTTCTATTCCCAGCTCTGGGACGGGGTATGGGGTCTACTGGGTTAGAGCTGTGGGGCTGGGAGCTAGGACTCCTGGGTTCTGTCCCCGGCTCTGGGAGGCGAGTGGGGTGTAGTGGTTAGAGTAGGGGTGGCTGGGAGCCAGGACTCCTGGGTTCTAAGAGTAGGATGGAGTCTAGGGGGTTGGGGCGGGGGAGAGCCAGGATGCCTGGGTTCTATTCCCAGTTCAGGAAGGGGAATGCGGTCTAGTGGGTTAGAGCTGGGGGCAGGGGAGGAACCAGGACACCTGGGTTCTATTCCCAGCTCAGGGAGGGGAGTGGGGCCTAGTGGTTTAGAGCAGTGGGGCTGGGAGCCAGGACTCCTGGCTCTGGCTCTAGCCCATGTAACCCACTCCTACCCCGCAGACGCTGTGCTGGAACGGGCCCTACATCGTTGTGTGCTGAAGCCTCTCAGACCAGTGCTGGCATCCCGGCTGCGCAGGCTACACGTGGCAGATGGGTCCCTGGGCCAGCTCCAGGAGAACCTGCGGCTGGTGCGGGAGCGGGGCCCTGGTGCCTTCCCGGCACGGGCGACCCTGCCTAGCCCCCATGACACCCAGCGGGCACGGCGCAAACTGCTGCAGCTTCTGCATGCGTATTCGCCCAGCACCCAGGTGACACTGCTGCTGCAGGCCTGCAAGGGTGTCTACCAAGCCATGGGGGCAGCCCCGGGTACGGATCCCTTCATCCCTTCCCCCCTCCCCTCCCTCGCCCACGTGATGCTGCTCCTGCAGGGCTGCAAAGGTGTCTGCAGAGCCATAGGGGTCCCCGCACAGCCTTCCCGACCAGCCTAACCTGCATGTCCCCTCCCCCTCCGCTCTTCCTCGCCCAGCACCCAGGCCTAGGAGAGCATCTCTGCAGCCATAGATCTGTCCCCAAGTACGGACAACCCCCATATGGCCCCCTGTTCCCCAGCACCATTCCCATATCACCCAGCCTGGCCCCCTCCCTCACCTCCAACCTACTCATTCCTACAACCTCCTGATCCTCCCCCCATCCCCATAACCGACCCCTGTGCCCCTCCCCCATCTCACATATCCACCCAGGGCCCCCCCACCCCACCCTCCCCAGTCCCCCCGCCTGTGCACCTCACCCCATGCCTCCCCGGATTCTGGGATCCCTCCCCCATCCCTGCCCAGCCTGTGCTCTCCATGCTGCCCACAGTCCCCTGCTGCTGGGAGCCCCCCTCCCCCAGCTCGTGCTCCCAATGCCGCCTGCATCCCCTGCTGCCAGGACCCCCCCTCCTGATCCCCCCTATGTCCCTGCTACATCCCTGCCAGCACCCACTCACTTGTCCCCTCTCCCCCCCCAGATGGGAGCTATGGGGCGGACGAGTTCTTGCCGGTTCTGAGCTTCATCCTGGCTCAGTGCGACCTGCCCCAGCTGCTCATGGAGGCTGAGTACATGATGGAGCTGATGGAGCCCAGCCAGCTCCTGGGGGAAGGTAAGGGAGACCCCTAGGCCCTCCACTACCCTTTTTCCTTGTCCCCCTGAGCCAGTCAGTCCCTGGGGCCAGATCAGAGATGGTGCCCCCTAGAGGGGAAAATCCCTGAGTCTGTTTACTTCCCTAAATGGGAGGGACCCACCTAATCATCTGAACGTGAGCTCTGCGATCCTGGGGTGTGTAAACAGGGGAATCTCGACTAGGAGAAGGGAGGTTCTGTTACCTCCGTGTGTGGCGCTGGTGCGGCTGCTGCTGGAATCCCGCGTCCAATCCTGGTGCCCACAATGCAAGAGGGACGCTGGTAAATTGGAGGGCTCAGAGAAGAGCCACGAGCATGACTAAAGGCTCAAGAACAGGCCTCAGAGTGAGAGACCCCAGGAGCTCGATCTGTTTAGTTTGACAGAGAAAAGGCTAAGAGTGATCCCAGTCTAAGTACCTACGTGGGGAACAGAAACAGGAGAGCAGACGGCTCCTCAGTCTAGCAGCCAAAGGTCTAGCAAGAACCAAGGGCTGGAAGCTGAAGCTGGACAAATTCAGACTGGCAATAAGGTGCAACTTTGTAAGAAAGGGGAATTAATCAGGGGCACAGCCTCCCAAGGGCTGGATTCTCCTTCGCTGGCAGTGTCTAAAGCAGGGTGGGATGTTTTTCTGAGATCCGTGCTAGTTCCTCCAGGAATCAATTCAGGGCAGCCCTGTACAGAGAGGGGGGCAGCCTAGAGAATCCCCATGGGCCCTTCTGGCCTGACAATGTACGCCCCATCCTCCCCCAGGGGGCTATTACCTGACCACTCTCCAGGCCAGCCTGGCCCTGCTGGGGCGTTTCCATGAAGAGGAGCCCATGGAGCTGCGCCCTGATGTCCAGAGAGCCCTGAGCTGGCGGCACCAGAGCCCCTCAGGGCGGACCCCTGGCAGCCCATGCCAGGTACGTGGGGAGGTGCTCTGGGGGGAGTCATTGACGGGGACTCCCTGCTACCCACCCAGTCCCTGCCCCCTCCCCTCCCTGCTATCCACCCAACTCCTGCCCCCTCCCCACCCCTCCCCTGTCTACTCTCCGCTCCATCCCTACCCCCTTCCTTACCCCTCCCCGCTGCCTGCACAGTCCCCCCATCACCCCTCACGCCTGCTCAGTCCCTATCCCCCATGTCACCCCATCTGCCTCAGTGCCCACTCAGTCCCTGCCCCCATCCCAATTGATCCCTGCCACTCTTAGTCCCCCCCCCCCCCACATGCCCACTCAGTCCCTGACTTGCTCTGCCTTCCAGGACCCACGGCCTGAGAAAACCCAGGCCCCCTGTAGTGGGTGCCACTCCACCACACCTGCACTGGGAGCCCAGGGGACGGCGGAGCAGCTACAGAGGCACCCCACAGACAACAGTCTCCCCCTGCACCCTGAGGGCCAGCACCAGCCCCAGGAGCACCCGGCCCAGCACCGCCACCCCGGGGAGATGGGACCTGGGCCGGGACCCCCACACAGGCTGCTCCGCGAAGCGGCTGTCGACCTGGATGAACCCCTCTGACCTGGGATGCCTGGTTCTGTCCCAGCTCTAGGAGGGGAGTGGGGTCTAATAGGTTAGAGCCGGGGGGCTGGGAGTGAGGTCTCCTGGGTTCTAGTCCAAGCTCTGCTGTGACTGGCTTTATGACCACGTCCCTCTTGGTGCCTCAGTTTCCCCCTTATGTAAAACAGGGTGAATAAGACCTGCAGCAGTGTGGAAGGGATGTCTGTCCCAGGTAGCTCCTCCCTGTTCCACTCTCGGGGGGAGGGGGTTCTGGGGGAGCCTTTTCCTCACTCTGGGGGTGGGGCAGGGAGTATCAGCTTGTGACAATCACTCCTGACTTGAATAAGAGTCCGTTAAATGCCGAAAGAGAGAGCAAGAGAGAGAGAGAGGGAGATTCTTTCTCTAGTGACACAGAGGATCAATGTACATACATCAGGGGGATTTGCTGGCACAAAAACCTCTTCTGCTGATGGTATTTTTGTAGGGCCTACTTTATTAAATATTTTTTGGGGGGAAAAAATCATTTTTATTTTTTATTCTCCCAAAAGCGACATGGCTGGTTTGTCCAAGGCCTCAAATTTACAATTTGTTCATATATTACAAGAAAAGGAGTTCTGTAACATAATGCTATTGTATCAATATTATTGTAGGGCCTACTTTATTTACTATTTGTAAAAAAGATTTACTTTGTTTGAAGAGTGGCATTCTTTGTTTTTAACTCGAGTTTGTTTTTTTTATTTTCTGAAACTCCATATGTTTTTGATAAATACAACGCTCTGGAACACAAAACTCTCCTGTTGATATTATTGTAGGGTCTGCTTTATTGGCCGACCAACGTGCAATCTGTTTAGCTGTCTCTATGTGTAACAAGATAACTTTTGAACACTGTGTACAATCAATTCCAACGTTTCCAGGAACGTTCTAGGCAGCAATGGGCAAGAGCCGATGGATGTTGGTGAAAATCAGAGAAACCAAAAGGGGAAACTGGGAGGCCCCTGGAACTCCAGCATCCGATAGCAGAGCCATGGCTTCAAGTCCCTCTGCTGCTGACAACGATTAACACCTTCCAGCACAACACCCCCCATCATCTCAGCTCTGCCCAGCCTCCAGGCAGAGTTTGAGACGTTGACACCCTGTGTGACTGAGCTCCTGGACAGACAGAGAAGAAATGAAAATGGTGGGAGAGGAGGAGGGACAGACAGTGCCCCTGGCATGGGTGGAAATAAGGGGGCTCTGGTGTGAGGGGAAGGCGGACAGACAGACCCCTTGGCGGGGGGGGAGAATGGGGACCCCTGGTATGGAGGGAAGGGGGAGCTGACAGACCCATGGCAAGGGGAAGGGGGAGCTGACAGAGCCCATGGTGGGAGGGGAATGGGGGCCCCTGGTATGGGGGAGGGGGAACTGACAGAGACCATGGTGGGGCGGGGAATGGGGGCCCCTGGTATGGGGGAAGGGGGAGCTGACAGAACCCATGATGGGGGGGAAGGGGAGCCCCTGCTGTGGGGGGAGGGGGAACTGACAGAGCCCATGGTGGGGCGGGGAATGGGGGCCCCTGGTATGGGGGAGGGGGAACTGACAGAGCCCATGGTGGGGCGGGGAATGGGGGCCCCTGGTATGGGGGAAGGGGAAGCTGACAGAACCCATGATGGGGGGTGGGGGGAAGGGGAGCCCCTGCTATGGAGGGAGGGGGGACTGACAGAGCCCATGGTGGGGGGGGATGGGGGCCCCTGGTATGGGGGAGGGAGAGCAGACAGCCCCTGGCAAGGAGGAGCTTGGGGGAGGGGCAGGCAACCCCTGAACGAGAGGGGAATGGAGGGTTGCACCCAGGCAGCTGGGGACGGGGGAAGGAGGGATGCCAGGAACCCTGGTGGGGGTGATGAGCTCGGCCGACACCAGCTGTGAAGCGGGCGCCCTGGCGGGTTTCACTGTGGTTTTCCCCCAAGGCACCATGCCCGGCTCTGTCTGTGGCTGGACACCGAGGCTCTACGCCCAGCTCCCCGGCCTGTGACGGCCTGCCTGTCGGGCGCGGGCCTTGCAGCAATGCCACAGCCTCAGGGACGGGCCTAGCACCCGGGGGCAGAACCCAGTGGGAGGGAAATCAGGCCCATCTGGCGGGGTAGGCAGAGTGGGGACACTGGTGCCCCCTGCTGCTGCTGCTTAGCACATCACAGGCAGCAGCTGCTGCACTGAGTGGGGCACTGGCCTGGAGTCCGGCAGAACGTGAGGCTTTTGGGGGGAAGTGGGTCTCCGGGGGGCAAGAAGGAGTGTGGGGATGGGAGAGGCAGCCAGGACTGGAGGGATGGGCCCCACTGACTGCAGGGAGCTGGCACAGGCTGTGGGGCCAGGTCCCCCTGGCCTGAGCACTGCCCCCACTTTGGAGACAGACAAGTCATGAGTCATGGGCTGACTCCTAGCCGAAGGGCCCTGAGTCATCACTCCGCTGTCCTAGAGCCCAGCCCCAGACATGAGTTCAGAGCGGTTCTCTCGGGTATCCCAGCGCTCCCGGGACAGGGACTCTCATGCTCCCCATATGCCCCGTTACTCCGACCCTGGGGCCCTTCTCCTAATCCACACAGTGCCCCAGTTGGGATCCCTGGGGCCCATCTAGGGGACACGTCCTCGGGTGCTGAGCTCTCTGAGGGCTAGGCCAGGCCCCCGCCCTCCTTCCTGGGATAAGGAAATATTTGGAGTCAGATCCTTTCCCTGTGGGCTGTATCTGAACACTTCTATGGCCAGGCTGAGGAGTCTCTCGTGAGCTACTGTGGGGCCTGGCACAAGGCGGGGTTACTGCCGGAAGGCTGGCTGAAGGCCTCAGCCCCTGCCAAGCCACGCCAGACGGATTCTAGGGCTGCCGGCGTGGACTTGGCTCACGACCAATACGTCCGTCCTCTTCACTCCACAAATGATGGGACCCTGCTGGGCCACGCAGTCTCTTGCCCTTTTGTGACGCCGCCTGCCAAACTGCATCTACGCTGCATGCAAGCTCAGCTGGGGACAGCCCGCAGCCCAGACTGGATGGGAGCACTCCTACCCAGGGTTCCCTCCTCTCCCAACTAGGGAAGCACCTGGCTGCAGTTTGGGTAGGAGTCCCCTTCACCCCAGCCCTTCTGACAGGAACGATATTGCTGGAGGCATCTGTGCTCGGTTGGGAAGCCCACCTGGACCATCACGTAGTTCAGGGCAAGAAGAGTTGCTCTGATGGATCTCAGAGCAGGGCACAATGCGGGCATGTTCTCCAGACCAGCCATTCCAACCGGTCCGTTCCCATCACCACAGACAATATGACCATGCTATAAACGAGCAGGGGGAGGGAGCTCCTCTCTTTCCCGTCCCCTTGGTCACAACAGATGTCGATCCACCCACCCCATTGCTTCCCAGAGTACTAGGACACAGCAAACTGGACACCGTGCTAGTTCTCCTACTGGCACCCACATGGCCGAGGCAATAGTGGTTCCAAGATCCTCTTGGTTTGTCCACTTGTTGTCCCATCCCATTCCCTCTGCTGCCAGGGCTCCTCTCACAGAACAAGAGAAGGGCTCATTCCCCCGAGCTGTCCTCCCTCCACCTGACCACTTGGTTCTTGGCTGGGTGTCAGAGCTAGAAAGAATAGGCAGTGCACAAACAGGGACACAAAGTCTCTTGCTCAGCAGTTGAAAGGACTGCATAAGAATGGGCCACACTGGGTCAGACCAATGGTCCATCTAGCCCAGTATCCCGTCTCTGATAGGGGCCAGTGCCAGATGTGTCAGTGGGAATGAAAAGAACAGGGCAATTATCAAGTGATCCATCCCCTGTCGCCTAGTCCAGGCCTGGTCTACACTAGGACTTTAATTCGGATTTAGCTGCCTTAATCCGAATTAACCCTTCACCCGTCCACACTACAGAGCCAGTTAATTCGAATTAAAGGGCCCTTTAAATCGATTTCTGTACTCCACCTCGACGAATGGAGTAGAGCCTAAATCGATTTTGTTAATTCGAATTAGGGTTAGTGTGGACGCACACCACCGAATTACTGTGTTTAAGTTAATGGGGTAGTGTGGCCGCACACCACCGAATTAATGTGGTTTAAAACCGAATTAAGGTGCTTAGTGTGGCCGCGCACAATCGAATTTATACAACCTGTTTCCCAAATTCGAATTATCTAAATTCGGATTAATCCTGTAGTGTAGACATACCCAGCTTCTGGCAAACAGAGGGTTAGAGACACCCATGTGATGGGGCTGTGTCCCTGACCTTCTTGACTAATAGCCACCGATAGACCTATCTTCCATGAACTTACCTATTTCTTTTTTGAACCCAGATATCCTTTTGGCCTGCACAACATCCCCTGACAATGAGTTCCACAGGCTGATTCCATGAGGAAAGTGGGCAGCTCTGAGTGGAAAGGATCCGTGGCTTGGCGGACCAGCTCGAGCTTGTACTGGGGCAGTCTCAGGTAGCTGACAGTCTGGACTCTGTACGACTGCTGAAGAACTCGGGTCTCTGATGCTGCTCTCTCAGGGTGCCCTGGGCAGCGATCAGTGCCCCCCAGCTCCATGTAGACAGTTTGTTGGTATTCTTCCACCATATCAACTCCCCATTTCCCTGAGAGTATTTCCACCTGGAGTGGAACCTGCCCCAGTCTGGGACCTCAGTGCAGTGTGAACCGATCTGATGAGATCACTCTTTGAACCATGCTCTTTTCTTCACTGACCCAGGAAAGCCCCCTGTCCTGCAGCAATAACATCAGCAGGAATGGTGGGGGAACTAGGGGCTCTTACAGCTGACCCTCCTTATACAGTTTTGTTCCCAGACAAGGACTCGCTCAGGCCACACCCTAAGTTCATACCCAGAATTGTGTCTGAATGCCATCGATCCCACTAACGCCATCCATTTACCCAAGTGTCACACGAGGGCCTGCCCCTTTAAGGCCCAGGAGGCCTTGGACCAGTTGGCCCTGTTCAGTTAGCTGCAGCCTGCTGGGTGTGGGCCTTAAGAGGAAGGAAGCCCAGCAGAGCAGAGTGGAGCGTAAGGTGAGTTGGGGAAGGTGTCTGGGTGTGGCTGCTTGGGAGGGGCTGTGGAGGCAGATGGGAAGCATGGCTGGCCTGGAAGCTGAGCACAGCAGGTGTATGTGAATTAGAGGAAAGAAGACAGATCCTTTGGGAAGGAAGGAGTGGATCCAGTTGGGAACTGGGGCAAAGGCTCATTGGGAGGGTTGTTTTGGATGTTGATTCCCAAGACAGGGTGGATGTCTGTTAATGAGTTAGCTGGAGG